GGAACCCCAGCAGGTCGAGGCTGCGGTGGCTGGGAGCGGCCACTGCACTCCAGTCTGGGCGACAGAGTGAGACTCCAACTCAAAACAAACAAACAAACAAACAAAAAAAACAACAAAAAAGTCCTTATCAGATAGAAATACATATTGAAGAATATGGGTGAAATAATATGATGGTCTTCAGATTTGTTTTAAAAGTGAGGAACAAAAATATGTGTATATGTAGAAGATAACAAATGAAAGGTAAAATGTTCATAATGAAAATTATTTTCTTTCTTTTTTTTTTTTTTGAGTTGGAGTCTCACTCCGTCACCCAGACTGGAGTGTGATGGCCGCTCCCGCGATCCTTCCGCCTCAGCCTGTTGGGCTCCGGCGATCCTTCCGCCTCAGCCTTCCTAGTAGCCAGAATTACAGGTGCGTGCTACCACGCCCAGCTAATTTTTTAATTTATTGTAGAGATGAGGTCTTGCCTGCCCAGGCAGGTCTCGAACCCGTGGGCTCAGGCAATCCACTCACCTCAGCCTCCCAAAGGCGCGGGATTACAGGCTGAGCCACTGAGCCCGGTTATGAAAATTATTTTCTTAGATTTTTTTTTTTTTTTAATGTTATAGCTTATGGAAAATAATTTACTTACTTGGTGACTTGCCTACATTGTAGCTATGAAAAAAAGAGGGTTTTTGTGAGTTTACACCTTGCTTATCTACTTGATGGGACTGAGTAGCTTCCTTCAATTGAGACAGAATTTGTCTACCACTGCGCTGGGAAGAGGCATTCACTTCAAATATCTAAAAGAAGAATATAAGAAAAAGGCAGAGTGGTTTATGTTTTAATTTAACTCAGGGTAATTATTACATTAAGATTATTCCATTATAGCTATTACTAACCTTAAATCCAAGCTCCTGAGCACAGGCATAAACTGCAGCAGTTTTTCCCACTCCTGTTGGCCCTGTTATAAGAACAGTATTGCAAAGACGACTCTCTTCTTCATCATCTGAACTGCCTTTAAAGTCTATGCTATCCAACAAATCTGAAAAATTATTCAAATGCATATGAAATGATCATTGTTTAGGCACCAATTCTACCTCCTAAAACTCAATGATCAAATTGCACAAACTTCTTGCAAATAAATGCTAGAAAATGAATTTACAAAAAGTAGAAAATCAAATATAAAATACCAATTAAGAAATTTAATAATTTTAATCTACTCTAAAAATGTTCAGCTAAATGGAAAAAAAAAAATTACTCAAAATACCTTCTTGTTTCTCCTCTCTTTTTCCCTTCAAATTCTGTCTTTCTTCCAATTCAGCTCTTCTTTTCCAGTCTTTCAACCAACTGCCATAAGAAAAATAATTCTCAAAATATAGATATATCTTAGACTTTATGTTAAAAATGATTATTGGGGAAGTTATGGAATACGGTTAGTTTCGTTTTGTTTTGTTTTTTGAGACAGGGTCTCACTCTGTTGCCCAGGATAGAGTGCAGGAACACAATCTGGGCTCCATGCTACCTTGACCTCCTGGGCTCAGGTGATCCTCCTGTCTCAGCTTCCTAAGTAGCTGGGACTATAGGCACATGCCACAACACCCAGCTAATTTTTAATTTTTTGTAGAGACAAGGTGTTAGTATGTTGCCCAGGCTGTATGGTTAGTTTTTAAGCACCCCATAATGCCTGTGAATCTACTAAATAGTAAAATATTTGTACATGGACATGAACATATTAAAATGAAGTAATTTCTGCCTAAATATGCAAAACTATATTCACTGCAATATTGTTTCTATTAGTCTCTAACAAGAAAAACCTAGAAGTACACCAATAGGGGAAAAGATACATTATAGTACACTAACATAGGAATCTCCACATAGCAATCAAAAAGAACTGAGGTAGATTGTGTGATGACATGAAAGATGTCTAATATACAATGCTAAGAACAACAAAAAAATTAAGGTCTAGTCTGAAGCTAGACTGCCTGAGTTTAAATCCCAGGTCTACCACTTTCTAGTTGTGTGACCTCAGACAAATAAGACTCTCTAGGCCTCAGTTTCTTCATCTATGAGATGAAGACAACAGTATTTACACTCATGGAATTATTCTTAGGATTAAATGAACTAAGAACATTACAGGTACTTAGAACATTACCAAGTTCATGTTATGAACTATTATTATAGGTCCACAATTCCTTACAGGAAGTTCTTTGGGCTAGGTAGTTTTAGAATCCATGATTTTTCAGATATTTGAAAAATAATTTGGTACATGCACCACATAATACATAATATATCAAAAAGTCTAGGCAGCATATCCATAATCACTTAATATTTCTATTAAGCAATGAATGAATTCCTACTAAGTGTAAAGACTTAATAAACTTTATGTAATAAAGTCAAAAACTTGGGTTTTTCAGAACTATTTGGAAGTGGGAATTTTAAACAAAGGATTGTGGACCAGAATTGTAGTAATATGATCCCATTTATTAGATAGGAAGGAACTAACCTATATATAAATTGTTTTCTGGAAGGTTTCACAAGAAATTTTCAATAGTGGTTACTTCAAGAAAGTAAAAATATGAAAAAATACTTTCCTTAAAATTCTTCTGGGTTTTTTTTTTTTACAATTTTACCATGAAATATGTTACTTCACAATTATAATTTCAAAATTTTAGTATAAATAAAATAGATGTAAAACTAAGTTCAAAGTTCATAAACTATTTCTTAATTTCTTTATGCATTTTACTAACCTATGTAATTTCTTTACAGCTAACTCATTGCCTATGAGTTCACTGGCATTCTGAGGTTGATACTTTTCTGTCCAAAGCATGTCTTCAGTTCCAGAATCTAAAAAAAAAAAAAAAAAAATTAAGGTATTAATTCCTAGACATAAACATGTATATATTCTTAGACATTTACAGTTTTGTTGTAATGTAACAATAGATATTTATAGAAATATTTATATTTACAAAATGCCAAAAAGGTAATTTTAAAACTTAACATTACATTTCAAAATCTTCACACCAGACACTTTCCCCTTAAAAACTAACCACCATAATCTCATGAAAGTAAGGTATAAAAGTACATATTTAAGTATTAATTTTCTTAGAGGTGAGGTCTCACTGTGTTGCCCAGGCTGGAGAGCAGTAGCTATTCACAAGCATAGTCACAGTTCACCACAGCCTCAAATTCCTGACCTCAAGCTTCCACCTCAGCCTCCCAAGTAAGCTGGCCCAGCAACATTTAAATTTTAAATAACTATTCAAGAAACATTAACTATGAAAAATAATTTGTAGGCCGGGCATGGTGGCTCATGCCTATAATTCCAGCACTTTGGGAGGCCGAGGTGAGAGGACTGCCTGAGCCCACAGGTTTGAGACCAGCCCAGGAAACTTGGCGAGACCTCATCTCTACAATAAATCAAAAAATTAGCCAGGCATGGTGGTGTGTGCCTGTAATTCCAGCTACTTGAAAGGCTGAAGTGGAAGGATCACCTGAGCCCAGCAGGCTGAGGCTGCAGTGGCCGTAAGCATACCACTGCACTCTAGCCTGGGTGACAGAGTGAGACCCCCAACTCAAAAAAAAAAGAAAAATAATTTTTGTAGCATAAAAACAAAGAATCTATAGAACAAAGGCAGCATAATCTTAGTGGAGTCTCTTTACCACTGAAAAGAAACATCTTATAAAGTCAACCTGGGTAAACAGAGAAAGATGCTACACTCCCAATCGAGAAGACTGAATACTGTAAAGACGCCATTTCTCTCCAAATTAATCTATGAAGAAATGTAAAATCAAAACATCAATGGGATCTATGGGGGTAAAGTAACCTATAGTTCACTGAATAAAGCAAATACATAAAAACTCTTTAAAAATTAGTGATAGGAGACTTGGCATATCAAATACTAAAACATACCACGGGTTGAGTATCCCTTATCTGAAATGCCCAGGACCAAAAGTTTTTTGGATTTCACATTTTTTCAGATTTGGAATATTTGCATATATATAATGCAATGTCTTGAGGATGGAACCCAAGTCTAAATATTAAGTTCATTTATATTTCATATATATCATAAACTTATAGCCTGCAAGTCATTTTATACAATACTTTAAATAAATAATTTTGTGCATGAAATGAAATCTTGACTGTGACCCAGTCACATGAGGTCAGGTATGGAATTTTCTACTTGTGGGGTCATGTTGATACTCAAAATGTCTCAAATTTTGAAGCACTGCAGACTTCAGATTTCCAAATTAGGGATGTTCAACCTGTATGAAGCTATATATACATATATGAATTAAATCAATTCAAGAGCATACTTTGGAAAAGCTATATAAACAGAATGAGAAAATGTCAGATATGTGAAATATGCTATAAAATAAGATGTATAGGATGATCTCAGGTTTTTAAAAAAGCACATGTATTTACAGCAGTACAGAAAATCAAAGACTAAACACCAATCTGTTAATGTGGTTATCTATAAGCTCCCCAATCATTGAAGTTTCCACATATAAAATAAGCATATATAAAAGAGAGGAGGAGCCAGGCTCGGTGGCTCAGCCTGTAATCCCATGCCTTGGGAGGCTGAAGTGAGTGGATTGCCTGAGCCCAGGGATTCAAGACCCACCTGGGCAACTTGGTGAGACCTCATTTCTATAATAAATAAAAAAATTAGCCGGGTGTGGTAGTGCGAGCCTATAGTTCCAGCTACTGGGAAGGCTGAGGCAGAAAGATCGCCGGAGCCCAGCAGGTCGAGGTTGCAGTGGCTGGGAGCAGCCACTGAGCTCCAGTCTGGGCGACAGAGTAAGACTCCAACTCAAAAAAAAAAAAAAAAGAGGAGGAAAGAACAAATGGTTAAAAAACAAAAGAGTTCTAGGAGCAGAAGGAGAAAATATAATTTACCCGGAGTAGAAGACAGTTCTGATGCAGACTCTTTGTCATCCTCTATTATTAGAATATCAACATCTTCTACTGCTTCTGTTTCCACTTTACGTGTACTCAAAGCAGTCTGTTTCTTCTGGGATGTTTTAGAAGATATCCCTTTGGAAGAATCTAGCTCTATCCCAGAAGAGCTGTTTCTTTTGCCACGTTTTTCTGATTTTCTATTTATCTTTTCTGAACTTCCTGAATATTCATTTGGTTTCTTTCTTTTTGACTTATGATTTTCTGCTTCTACTTGTTTCCTTTTGGTTTCTTTTTGATTGACATCAGGCTCTAGTTGTGGAATTTCTATTTTAGGAATTAAAGGAATGCATGTGCTTACTAATTAACAAAAAACAATCATTTTAATATCACTTTCAAGTGTCCAAAAGTCTTATGACTACAATGAAAAGGCAAGAGTCAAATGTGACATGCTGAAAGCAAGCTGGAGATTTTAATAATTAGACTATTTTTTTTTTTGAGTTGGAGTCTCACTCTGTCACCCAGACTGGAGTGCAGTGGC